TGCCAGAGCTATTGAACTAAAGGTGGAATAAATTAACAACGACTTTATACCACCAAAGGCGTGAACTAAAATGAATGTTCAGTAGACCAACTGCTGTTCAAAAAATATTATTGTGAATATCAAACGGTTGTTTGTCCGGTTGTTTATTCCAATTTTAAAGTTTGTTACTTCAATAAATGCTAACATTTTTAGGAAAGTGGTTTTTGAATGAAGTTCTTTATGTGTGTTCTGACAATTGTGATGATGGTAATTTTAACAACAATTCAACCACAACTTCATTCAAATTCAAGAAGACTTGGCGGAATGCCACAATTACACTGATGGGAATAAATGCATCTTTTAGACAACAAACTAATAATTGTTTGAAAACACTGGAAATATGTTACAAACACCAGATGCCTTTTTGGTTACTACAAAGAGTAAACAACAACATCTTGTAAGAAGTGCAAAATCTGGTAGCAATTGTTTTATGGGTGAGACGTACTCAAAGTTTTTGTCTTGTATTGACAGATTCAATTTGGTCAATGAAGGAACGTGTTTTGCATGAAATACAATTGTTGTCTATTGAAACTGCAAATCAACACTGTGTGTATCACGTGAACAACTGAAAATTTCAACCAGACAAAATTTGCAAAAAGAATGTCCAGAAGCGTATTTCGCAAATGAAAATGTGTGTATTGTTTGTGTTGAGAACTTATAAGACATGTAATGAAGAAACCAAGTGCATTGTTTGCAAAGACGATGCTCTGATTATTGAATCCACCAAAAAGTGTGTGAAAGACAGTTGTCCAGAAATTTATCAGAAAGTGCTAAGAAAATGTGCAAGAGATGCAAATAGTTTACAAATTCGACTGATTTTCAAGAGTTTGTTGCGCCAAAATGATAGAAGAAGGAACAATGAAGTGTGTTAAAATGTGAAATAGATTCTTTAATGTTAACAACCAAAAATGCAATAAGTGCAATGATAAATTGAAAGATGTTCACAACAAAAGAAAAATGTGATAAGTGTAAAGAGAACTTTTTATTTCAGAAGACACTTACAATACGCCGTGCAAACAGGGCAACACTGGATGTGAAGTTTGAATGAACAAAAGTGGTCATTGTGAATTTGTGTTGCAGCTTTGGTATTTGTCTTGATTAAGACATTTTAAGTTACTTTTTGGTTGATTATGGTTCAAAAATCGGCGTTTAACAATAACAATTTAAATTGATTATGTAATTATCATAATTGCAAATTACAAACAATGGCAATGAATTTTTTAAATATAATATATTACTGATAAATAGATTTAGCTTAATTTATAAGTCTTAATCGTATATTAAGGAGAATGTACATTGTGCACCACTACCTCTAAAATTAGAATTTATTTACTATTTGATATATACACAAATCAAAATTATAGTATATAAGAATTTTATTTCTTATATGGTCTGGATCCCAAATTAAAAACCTGCCGAACAGTCAGTGGATACCGAGTGATATGGTGCTTTGATAAGAAGGCTTATAAACCGCACACAAACAGTACTTTATTGAAACTTTATTTTTGTTAAAATTGTTGAAAAAGTCTCAATTCAACTGTATATTATAAATTATAGTAATTTATTATTTATTTTTAACTTTGTGATTTATATTATAAATTATAGTAAATTAAATTATTAAATAATAATACAAAAATGAAATTCATAATTAATAAAATTGGCAACTTATATATTGATAAGGCAATAAAAAATGAGAATTAGACCCTACGACTAGGATTATTCGTAGAGTATGTCACTTTTTTTTTACAAATAGAATCCACAATATATCATAAAGATTTTTTAACACTTTAGTACCAAATGGAGATACATAGCAATATAATTAATAATTTTCAAGAAGCATTTGTGGTCTAAGGGCAGAATTCCACCCTTCCAAGGTGGAGATCCGGGTTCGAGTCCCGGCAAATGCATTTTTATTTATCAAACAAATGGGTACTAATTTTTCATTTTTTGGTGTTATTATCTTGTTATAATTGAAAACTTCACATTTTCATTTTTCAGCAATATTATTAAACACTTTTAAACACTCTGAATTACACTTTTTGGGTTTAGTGGTTTTCATTATTTTTACTCAATTTCTGTTTCTTCAAATGCACTATGAATTTAATTAGACCAGACTTTAAATACATATTAACATTCCAGGATTTTTAATGGTATTCAAAAAACAATAAAAACAATGATTGTATCAAGGCAAAAACAAAACTTTTCCCTTTTGATAACTTCTGTTGTTAAGTGCGAGCAATGGACAGTTTTTCACGACTATCTGCACGCCTTTAATTTTTCCAATAAGTCGTTTTAATGTCTTGCACGATTGCACGTGTATCTTTGAGACATTTTCCCCAATAATTATTTCCTCCAAATTGTTACACATCTTTACTACAATTTCTTCGACATTTTTATTACAAACAATTTTGTTGCACTTTGCCCAACTCACGCGCGTCTTTTTCTTTTGCGCTTCAAATACAATTTTCTCATATTTCTTTTCTTTGTAATTACTATTTATTTTTAAAGACTTTGTACCGACTATTTTCTTGAAATCAATATTTTTCAAATCAACAAATTCGGTTTTGTCGTTGAGTATCAATTTGTCACCACAAAACTTAACACTTCTTTCAATATAAATGCGTTTTGCAGGCAAGTTGGATAAATTTGTTATATATGCCGCTTTCATCACATTTATCACAACATTTTCATTGACATAAAATTCAAAATTATATATATTGTATTCTTTATATGGATATTTTATATAAAAAGCACACAAATTGACATGACCAAATACCTCCGCCTTGTTACAAAGTTTTGAGGTCTCACACTTTTCTTTATCTTTTATAAGTATTGAGTACTTTTCTTTTGAGTATACAATATATATACATTCACCAACAACAGATTCAACTTCTCCACAAATGACTCTGACACAACAGTCTGAAGTTATAAAAACGCGCTTTGCCTTTCTCAATATGAATTTCGTTGATTTTATTAATTTCGCTGTTGTTACAAATTTCTACATCATAATTTTCAAAAAACTGAATTGTGTTGGCGTTTTCAAAAGTCACCATCATGAGTTTTCCATTAGTAAAAGTTACTCCACTTATAACATTGAGTTCATCTTCATTGTCATAATTTTGATTATTGTCAAACTCAAGCAAGCATTCATTTAAAGTGTTTTTAGGAATGTTTTTAAACTGCACAAAATGTGATTTTGATATTTTCAAAACCCCTTTAAAAGACGTGTATATATCAGAATTAGTGAGGTAATTAAAAGACGAAGTTTTCATTTTGAAAGTGTCAATTTGTCTGTTTGTAGTATCTATAGAAATTTTATCACAACGCCAAAAGTCGGCATTTACAAATTCACAATTTGACATCACAAAATTTGTGCAACTCCGATTTTTCATATCATTAATAATACAATTTAGAAAGAAAGTGTGATTAATTTCAAAAGTTGTGAAACGCATAATGTGATACTTTGTGTGATTTTCAATGCTAATGTTGTTTGATGTTTTCAGTTTAATTTCGTAAATATATCCAAATATGTCAATTTTAATATGTGAAGAATAACGGCAACATAATGTGTCGACTGCACTCATTAAAATATTAAGATTTGTGCACTTCACAATATTTATTCTCATTGCAAATATTTTTGATATTTTTATGTCTGAGATGTTAAAAAGAGTCAATTTTGCGATTTGGTGAGTGAGAAACGCGACATCGGTCACAACATCGTCCAATAACACTAATGGACATGTTATTAAATATGGTGCGCAAACATCTACAATTTGAAATTCATCACTCGATACATTTTGCGTTGTACACCTTTTTCATTATTCCAAGTGTTCATCTGAACCTTCAGTTTGTATTGTATTTTTTTTTCATTTTTATTGTCATAATTTTCACTATTCACATTCACATTTTGCGTACTGTTCTTTTCCTCTTGTTTAATAAGATCATTTTGAATTGGAGTATTTTGGTCTTTTATTAATAATTTATCTTGTTCAACATGTTCTCGTGTGTTTTTATTAATGTTTTGTTTTATTATTTCAATCCACTTGTCATAACCATCATTTCCAAATTGGTCTTCTATTACGATTTCGTTGTCACTTTGGAAATAAACTGAATCAATACCTTTTACATTAGTCACAGCTACATCCCCAACATATCTCAAGTTATCAAGAAAACTGCAGTGGTCCACTACATTCTCCTCGCAATCAAAAACTTCAACATTTTGTTGCCGAAGCATCAAAATTGCAACATTAAAATCCTTTTTAAGTATTTCTCTTACTGCTGTTTTTTCAATGAAAATTGAAACTTTAACAGTTGCTAATTTTTTCAAACAATGATGAATCATTTGTTATTTGAATGATGATAAAAAGGTTGGGTGTATACAATTCCAAATTGTTATTTTTGTGACGCTTTTCAGTTCAAAATCCTTTTTAAAATGTTTGGCTTGCGAATCCACCCATTCATGTGAATACTTTTGAAGTTAATGTAATTGTCGGTAGGCAACTAATTGTTGTTTTTGGTCCCAACATAGCAAATTTCTATTTTTGAAATAGCACTTGAGATTATTGTGGGTGGAAACGTGGCGAATGAATGTGATTATAATCATTCCTTTTGTTGTGTGGTGCTTTTACAAGTCGTATATTCTTAACTTTTCGGATCAGTTTGTTGTCGTTATACAACATGTAATCATAACATTGAAGGGTTTTAATCTTTGGAAACGCTTTTATGATAAATTCGAAAATCGAAGAAAATAAAGCCTCAAGTGGCTCTTTAAAAAGAGCAAAAGTTTCAATTTCTAAATTGATAAAAGGGTTGATGTATAGACTCTGCATACACTCAAAACACTTTTTGTTAACTTGTTCAAAAGTTTTGAGAGAATCCATTGTGTTGTTGTATTAACAAAACAGTGTTAAATCATTTGACTGGTGTTTTAAAATCAATCAATTATCTCAATTATCCACAAAAAAACGTATTTGTCGAATTACAAATGCAACAAAAATGAAGACTCGAAAATGACCCATGACCAGTCTGCAAGTTTTAAAAGTGGCTGTGTTATGTGCAAAGAATATTATTATTGAGTTGGACTTGACTGTTCAAAATGTGATCAAAAAAATGTGGCACGCGTTTAAATCTAAATATCTGTCTCGCCCGCAACTCATCAAATTCGTAACAACAAAACAAACTAAAGTCAGTCTGAAAACCTTATTTATTCCAAAAACTTTATTTATTTTTTTCCCTTTGAAAAAAAGCAAATTTGGGATGTTTAATAAATATTACTATTATTTAAACTATTTTCAAATAACACAACCAAAAACATTAATGGGGTTAAAGTCATATAGCCAAGCATTTCATTTTTTCTGTTTGTCAATAATAGGTGATATTAATGTTGTTATTTACCTAAAAGAACGGGAAAATACCGTAAACAAACTGAGTTTTTTGGATCATTTTTTGAAAATATCGCTTTTAGGCGGGAGTACTTTTTTTACTTTTTTAAGACACTCTTTTGGAGAGCAAACAGACACCCACATAGTTAAGACAATTTCTTGTGAACGGCTTTTACTCGACCGTTAAACTGCAATTCGATGTTCGAGTCTGCCAAGCGTGGTCTTCTTTTTGATTATGATTGTTTCGTTGTTTTTTATTAATTATTTAATTAAATCCAAGTTGTTTGTTGTCTATTCTTTTGTTATATTTGTCATCTCACACACAAAAAAATTTACCAAACCGCGGTTTACAACCACTCTCTGTTGTTATACGCGATGTTTGAGCGTAAAAAATCAAATTTGTCAATTTGTTTAACCTTAGAATGTCAAAACTAGATAAATTATATCAGTTTTTTGTTGTTGTTCTTTGTTGAACAATTTTGATTTTTTTGGTAAAACCAATATTTGAAAATATTTAAATAAATATCCACTATTGAAACGGGCATATTTTGAAAATTATTTGTTTATTATTGACAAAAAAATCACATTTATTACCACTTATTTAATAAATACAATATTTTCTCGAAAAATAAACGACTTGTAAGATGTTTTACTTTTGATAAAACCACTAATTTGGAATTATTTATGAAATAACAAAATGGTTGATAAACAAAAAAATCAAATGGAAATGGAAATGGAATGTATATTAGATAATGGATTTGATAGTTGTTCTGAAGACAACTCAATAAGCGATTTTGATACAAAGTTATATGAAGACATCATTGAAGACAAAAAGACGACACAAACAATTCATAAACGTTGTACTGACCCAAATTGTACTGAATGTTGGTCAAAACAAATATTTATCGAAAAAGATTTTTCAGAAATAAATTTTACACATAACACAGAAGGAAAAACGAAAACACATAATATTCAAACTACGCCAATAAATTGTTTTTTAGAAGTTTTTGATGATGAAATATTGAAAATAATCACCAAACAAACTCATAATTATGCAATACATAAAAAGGTTATGGATTGGAAAGAGCCAACTCTTACCGAGATCCAAGCTTTTATAGGCGTTGTTATTATGCAAGGTATCAAATCCGATGGTAAAAACCACTTACCGAGTTATACACCAATGATTGTTCTTGATATTACAAAGCGTTGTTTCCATTATATCGACTAAAGCAACTTTTCCATAACATTCATTTTGATGACAAAGAAACGAGAAATGCGAGGCAAGAAAAGTTCAAAAGAAAAAAATGAAGCAATTTATGAAATATTGGAAAGAATTAACAACAATTTTCAAAATGTTTATATTTCTGGAAAGAATTTAGTCATAGATGAAATGATGTCTCCTGTTCATGGACGTTGTCCATTTAAAGTTTACGTGCCTCTTAAACCAGAATAATATGGTCTAAAAATATTTGCTGTTGTTGATTGTAAAACGTTGTTTGTGTCTAAAATGACAATGCATTGTGGCGGAGAGTATAAAAAGCCTATAAATAGAACAAACAATATATCACACAACACAGACATAAAACTGGATTGGAAGAAACTGAATCAAATTAAAAAAAACAAAAAAGGAAAAGGGCAACTCAATTCCAATCAGAGTCACGGTTATGGATTTAGTGTCTCATTTACTAGATAAAGACCGCGTTTTATGTTGTGATAATTATTTGGAACTGTTGAGTTGTTACAACAACTAACATCTCGAAGGATGTCATATATTGGTACAGTACGCCAAAATCGGTTTAGAGTGTGTAAATTATTCAAGAGCGACGATACAGACCGAGCAGTTTTGTTCAAACACGAAGGAATTGGATGGAACATGTTAGGATATAAGGAAAACGCAACAAAGCCCGGAGTGTTTATAGTTACAACGAACAGTTCAAAAACAAAACTTAGCGATAAAGATGGAACACCAGAAACTATTTTGAGATATAATAAACTTAAAGGTGGTGTTGATATGGTGGATAAACTATGTGCAATGCATTCATGTCGAAGAACGTCAAGAAGATGGACTGTATAGTATTTCTGGTTTTTAGTAGATGTTTGTGTGCATAACTCGTATGTATTATGGAACCTTAATACACTTAAAAAAGATAAAAGGAAATTCATGAAAAAATTGGCACTTGAACTAGCAACACCCTTTGCTTTGCAACTGAATCGTTCGGGTATTTCAACGGAAAGAATGATCGCTTTAAAATAATTCGTAATACCGATGTGTTTTGATTGTGTAAATGAAAAATATGTAACTGTTAAAACTAACAGTAAGAAAAAAATGGGCTGTGTTAAAACTGCAAAATTAATTCCAAATCAACGAAAACAACATCGTTTTGTGAATTGTGTGGCACCTTGAGCATTACACGTTGTTGTAACTTATGTAAACACAATATATGTGATTCCTGTTTTAGTAAAACATTTAAATAACAATTTGTTATTGTGTTGTTATTATTTTTTTACAATAAAATGAACTGGATAAAAAATATCTAGATTTGTCCTTGGTAAAATAAATTAAAAATAAAAGTTTCAATTGACATTCTAAGGTTAAGTTCGTTTTGAATAAAAAAAAACAAAGATTTCAAGTGAAAAAAAATAATTTTGAAAAACAAAACCAAATAACAAAAATAATAACCTATTTTTGTCGATAAATAAGGTTTTTGGAATAAATAAGGTTTCCAGACTTACTTTATATATTAATCAATAATTCTTTAAAGTTGTTTGCAAAGACGAATTTTAAAAATATTTAAAGACCGAAAAACTGTGAATTTCAAAATGTGTAGACTTGGCAGTTATCATGCCATGATAGTCTCAAAATACTTTGTCATTATCGGAGACTTTATTAACTTGGAGTTGGTATGCAAGAAGTTTGGTGGTAATATGGGAAAGTTTCACTTCAACCCAATTTCGTTAAATTCCAAAACAATTGGATACTTTCCAAACATCGAGACACTTCACTTGTGGTATGTAACCGATGAGAATTTTGGCAATAAATTTATGATAAACACAAGAGAAAATGAAGACAATGGAAATATGGCCATTTTAAAGAAAAAATTCTTTCGAATTATTGTGTGGTTCAATGTTGACTTTGAAACTGTTGACAGAAACAAAAGTCGAAACATCGAGTTTAAAAATGTTACTTACACCCAAAATGATAGTTTTAAATATGGGAATGAAATTCCATTGAGTGTGACATCACTTGGTTATGGTTGTTTTGGTTCGTGCTGTAGTCTTAGCAGTTTTACAATACCATCAAGTGTGACATCAATTGGTAATTTTTGTTTTAGTCGATGCAGTAATTTAAGTGGTGTTACAATACCATCGAGTGTGAGATCAATTGGTTGTTCTTGTTTCTATGAATGTGGTGTGTTGAGTAGTGTTATAATACCATCAAGTGTGACATCAATTGGGAGTAATTGTTTTAGTAGATGCATAAATATAAGCAGTGTTACAATACCATCAAGTGTTATTTTAATTGGTAATGAATGTTTCAGTGGATGTCATAGTCTCAGTAAAGTTTTTATACCTTCAAGTGTCACATTAATCGGTGATGGTTGTTTTGGTTATTGTAGTTTTTTGAATAATGTTACGATACCATTGAGTGTGACATCAATTGGTAAAGGTTGTTTCCGTGGATGCAGTATTTTGAGTAGTGTTACAATACCATCAAGTGTGACATCGATTGGTGATAGTTGTTTCCATGGATGCAGTAGTTTAATTATTGTCAACATACCATCAAGCATGATATCAATTGGTGAATATTGTTTCGAAGAATGCGGAAATCTAAGCAGTGTTACATCACTTTTGAGTGTTAAATCATTTGGCAATTATTGTTTCCGTTGGTGCAATAGTTTGAAAACTATTACGATACCATCGAGTGTGACATTAATTGGTAAAGGTTGTTTCCCATCGAACA